GCAATTTCACAAACAAGCCTCATCAATCTCTGTTAACCTTACCCTTTTTAATGTGACTCGTATTTGGGATATTTGCAATTATAATACACACTGTACGAGGCTCCTATAAATATCAAATTAATTAGTGAGCACACTGGTGTAAATACCTCTTTTATAAGTCCTTGTTAAAAGTGAAAGTTCTCCACTATGGTTGGGTGGTGTGTTAATTTACTTTGATATCTAATCCCAAGTTACTCCACATAAAAGTCCTCACTATACCCGTTTTAATGGGGAGGTGGTTGTTTTCATGGCAATTTTCTGCTAGACTACATTTTTAATTTATTCATATTTAATTTATTGGTCTCTGCATATCCACTCAACAAAACTAATCAAGGCCACGTATGGGCCTCTTAAAGCTACATCTCTCTTTGGCAGGCAGACAGGGGAGCAGCAGTATTAGTGTGACACTCTCCTCTCTATTTGCATCCTGATACCAGGGCCGCTGCCAGTCATCTGGGTGTCCTAAAGACAGTAATGACATCCTCACACTGACCAACAAAGCTAAACTATATAATAATAAACCTGCTGGTGCTTGGTAAAGCATGTGGTTATTACCATATGTTATATAATAGAACTGATTCAATCTGTATGTATGGAGTTTGAATGTTCCCCCTGTGTGGGTGATTTCTTGGGGGGTCCAAAAAACCCAAATGTCCATATCTAGCACAATGAGTCCAATCGGACCCTGTAACTGACCATAAGAGTGAGTGTGCTGGTTCTAGGAGATTAGTAATCTGACAAATATTACTGCTGGATCAACTAAAGGGATTGTATTCTCAGTTGTTTCGGAAAAGCCAAAAAAAAAAAAGAACCATCGTTTTGGATGAGGATTTCAAATGTCTTCTGTATACTGGAATATAATTATTGCTAATTTGATGCAGAATTGTAGCAATAAATATTTGTACTTTGTGTAACAAGTGTGTTACAAAGACAAAGTTCTGGTAGAGCCGAGAGGAAATCAACTGTAGTCCAAGATATTTCCTTTGCTCGCTGTTCCTGAACAGCTCCACCAAAAGTTCTCTCTATTTTGTTTTAGTTCTCCAGAGCCAGGCCTGGGGCAGAACAGCGGCTTGACTTTGGCTGGAAGCTGTTTTCACTTTGGGTTTTGTTGGCCCTCGTCCTCATTGCTCTGCTCTGTTACTGCGTCTGCTGGCAGCTGCTGGTTCTGATGGATAGGTGTAATGACCTGGAGACAAACTCACACCAAACTGCAACACAAAAACTGTCAGTACAGTGGAGACTGGTGATTGTGGTGATTTTTTTTCCGATGGCCTAGTCCGTCCCACCTCTGCAGTGGGTAAAAGGGTAGACAATTTAAAAAAATGGAGAAACCTATCTGAAGGTGTTGCACTGGTGAGTTCTGTTGTTTACAGGAAGGACACAGCTGAGAGTATGCCTCTGTTCATTTAAATAAATGCTATAATGTTCCTCAGTCCCTGCCAGGAGTCTCTGGTCTTTTGGTTAATTATAATCATGTGCACAGACAAATAGAAAACAGAATTTTTTTTTCACAGTTTCTGATTCATAGTTAAATTGTAGAAAAAGAACCTGATCATGAGACGCCGTCACCATCATCGCAATATTTCTAAAACTGTGCCAAATGTCTCCTAATGGACAGTCTAACTCCAAGTCACATGCAGAGATGCAGCAAATAGTTTGATCACAGGACTATATTTAGAATGTTAGGAGTATAGAGAGAACTGACACAGACTTATTTACAGCTGCCACACGTCTATCAACAGTTGACTGTCAACTTTCAGCTAATTTCTTGAAATAGCACTTGGCCACACATGCCCACAAGTACGTTTCCTTCTACCTCCGATTGCACAGTTGACTGTGAGTCGGAGCCTCGTACAGTCAATAAATCAACTCACTGGCGAGGGCTGAACGGGTCTGTGGTGTAATGTTGGTGCAGGCCAGCAGGGTTCAGGGCTTCAGGGTATTCGGGCTTCAGCATGGTACAGACTAGAATGCGTCGAGAGTTGCGTTCAAAACGTTTTGTTTGTCAGTCCCAGACTAAACCACTGCTCTGCAGTCGGTGAGTCTGGTTTGCCTCAAGCCCGGCATCTGATTGGAAGATAAAGCCTTCTTCTACTGGGTGTTCACTGATATGGCATTTTAAGTTGTGAAAAAAAAAGATTTTACTAGCAGTATGTGTAAATAACAACGCAAAATGATATTACTAGCAGTATGTGTAAATAACAACGTGTGTATTAGAGCGACAATAGGGGAATGGACGTGGGAATTATTGAATATACAGTACACGTCATTTTGCCCATGCGTTAAAATACGTTTTAAATGTTAATCTGATTAATCTTCAGAAACTAATTAACGGGATTAACATAGTATGTAGAAGTGTAAACGTACGTTTCTATGGTAACAGCACCATCTAGTGAGGATTAAGCCTTTTCTAATCACCTATCAATTTCCTCCCTTTCCTCTGAACTTGTCTGCTCTTGACTTGGCTTCATGGACCTCAGGCTGTCATTTAGCCAGGTATGACTGGAGTTCTTATCACCTCACCACCACACTGTGCACTCTAAATATCTATCGATCCACTGACACACCTCCAGGGGGGCGTGAACATCCTCACACATGGAAATGATTTCAATTAATTACCAATCCCCTTTGACAAGATGGCAGAGGTGGAGGTGGTATTGGGNGTGTAATAGCCACTGTGTGTAATGAGCAGCAGAAAGGTCATTTGACACATTTCTGCCAGAATGAATTCATTTGTTTCAAGCACTTAATTCTACAGTCACCTCATTGGTGCGCGGCTTGGCAGTGCACTCAGAGGGTGCATTACCACAAGTGGAGGCTGAGCTTTCAGCCGCTGCTGACCACAGGTCTGTGAGAGTGGCTGAAGAGCAGTGGAGATAGTGAGGCAGAGGGTGAGAAATCAACATCACCCCTCCCATCATAGGAATATCACCTCCATCACCTTCGGTGTAATTGGAGCATTCATTACAGTTCAGTAAAAATGCAGGTTCCCATTAGATGGACAATTTAAGAGTAGGCTACTGGAAAATGAGAGAGCGGAGAGGTCGCGATACAGGGTCACAGTCAAGTAAATAATGGGAATTGGTCTCATGAGGTTTGGGAAAAAAAGCACAAAGCTTGTGGCTAAGGCACCAAAAATACAAGTGAGCGGAGGAGAGCGGCAGGCATTCAATCATCTAACAGGAAATAAAATGCCTTCTCTGCCGTTTCAGAGTCTGACTAAACACAATTAAAACTGCAGAGTGTAATGTGGAGCTGTATATCAAGTCCAACCTGATGAATGTTGGAAGTGCCTGCGTGACAAGTGGTAATAATTCCATGTTTATATTATGGTAATCCTAAATAATCTTTTATAAATTTGAAGATTTTATGTGGAGCACGAACATATAACTCTATTTTCACCTAATTATCAAATCTACCGCGATGATTATATGGTGGTTAAAAGTGTTGACGGAAACTGTGTTTGACTATGATAAAATGCTTTTCTTTCTCTTTATAAGAAAGTGTTTACCCAGCAGGTACACAACAAATACTACTCTTGAGTTTTCAGTCACTTTTGTAGTTTTGTCCCTCTGGGTCACTGTTACAGAACTGTTCTCTGAGTGTCATTATTTGATATATTTTTTCTTGATTTTTAATAATCATTAAATCATTAATTATGTTATTTTAATTGTGCAATTAGTCTTTATAAAGATCGAATATTATATATTACATATTTTTTTATTTTTGTTTTTAATTTTATGTGAAGAACAC